CTTGCCTTGGTAACAACCGGCTCCCAGATTTACACAGTCCCCTGCTCTTTTTCCCGTAACTCATTCTCCTCTGTTTCGCCTTCCACCTTGTTTTAACCTTCTTATTTTACAAATTAGCCTTAGTGACTATGACCTGTGACCTTTCTGTACTAATTCAATTTCGTATTTTTCTCATTCGTTAGTCTTTAACGCATTGGAGTGGCTGCAACTGATGAGCACCCCCGAAATGTTATGGATCCAATAAATTTTGCAGTCTGCGCAATATACCAATTTGTACCAGGGAAACTTTGCTTTAAAAATCTAGGAATTAACCGCGGCACGACTGTAGACCTAGTGCCATGGATCCCAGTCAACAACTATAAAGTTCGCTCGGTCTGTCCTGACTGTTGCTTACCATTTACACATCACGAAGATCTATCAAATCAGATCTGAAACGTGATCAAGGTCAAATAAACAACGTCTAGTGGCTGGCTTTTTGTGTGTGAAAGGCTACGCAGTGAACCCGAGTAAGCACGCTATAGGCCACGGTGTAAGTGGACACCGAGATACGGATGAATAAATGGAGCGAAATGAGGTATCTGAGGCTGCCTATTGCCTGCTAAGCCACAAATTAAAATTGTTATAATAATAGAACGAGGGTAATAGCAAACTTGGGTTTAATCCAAAGACATAAGGGTGCTGACAGGCTACGAGTCTGATATTAAGGCAGCAGTAGAAGCTATCAACTTCTTTAGTTCACAAGACAATGAAAATATCAAAAAACAGACTGAGACTGACGTCGGGGAGTAAGGTGATTATATAAGAGAAAATATAGTAACCAAATGGGAATTACCTGAGCGGCTAGTCTTTTGACCATATCAGTCACGTTGTGATGGGTTTTTATGACTTCAGCTCTCGAGGTTACTGACTGAGATGCCGATTCGATCAAATCCGGTCTGAGCGTGCCTAAAACAGATTACCTTCAGTCACTATTTTAATAAACGTACGTGCAAATTAAAGGAGAAAAAAAGAGAGCAAGTAATAGCCATCGCATTCTCGAGCAATTATTTCCCCTCAAGAGTTAACCTTAAAATCCTGTGCAAACAGGAGACCTATTTACTTCACTACCGCGTTCTCCATCTACCATATTCCAATGGCAAAACAGAGTCAAGACGACTCGAGATAGTTTTCTATTTATATGCGAAAATATTCAAGATCCAGATATAATATTGCCTTCATCACCCCCGGAAGAGGAAGGGGCAATTCCTTCTTCCTCTTCCGGAGATTATGAAAGCAATAGGTCTCTATGCACTTATTCAGTACAAGTATATGCGCACCACTCATGTTTCGGCCACCAACTTCAATGCAGATCACCTTCCCATGAACGGTCTCGGACATCTCAAATGATTGTCAAAGAAGGCAAATTAAGGAGCCATTGAAGCGTCACCGTCGGTCCTGGGTAGGACCCACTTATCTTGTTAGTTGGCAGCCTACAAAGCTAGAACTGTTAGCCTATATTAACAGAAGCAACTGGACTTTGGAGCCAAGCATGAACAACCGTATTTGCTACACATCAAGTGATTTCTCTTGCAATTGATGCAAACGGTCGACCAACTAAAAAAAGGCTTATTTTGACGGGCACATGCAGAGAATACGGAAAAGCGAAAGGGAAAGTGAACACGCCGTGGTAACCCAGAGTATCCGATGCAAATTGGGGCAGTCCCTCGTTAAATCTGTGATTGAGCCGTACGAGATACCCCATTCAGTCATTAGGCAATTCAGACTGCGCTGAGTAACTTTACAGATTACCAGATTTAATTCTGAATACAGTTCACTAAAAAAAACTGAAATTTGTACTTTTCATCCGCGCCAGTACATCAGTCTTCGTGAAGTTATAATATGAATGACTATTTTGGTGACTGGTGTTCAGATGCCTGCATAACCACTAAATTGCTACAGAAAAACTGTTAATTCAAGTGTAGGTAGGACACGGAAAAGGAGACCCTCTCTCTGTAGGTGGCCTTGCGCGTAAATCCAGGGAATTTGGACTCCCGGTTAAGGCGGGAGTTGGGATTAAGATTTGGATTATAGCACATGAATAAGTGCCCCTCCGGGATGGACGGTTCCTGTTTCCGCTGGATGTTAACACCATTGAAAAGTCGTTCAAATCGCGTATTCAATACAGCCAGTCAACTGAATTTTTTACCCACCAATTTAGATAGCTCGATTATCAGTTGAGTTGGTAGAATGTTATCTTGTCCAAACCTCATCCTGGCTGGCAAGATCACCATGTGGCCAAATGAAACCGCGGTGAAAATCGAATTCTAATGCCTTTTCCAACCAAACTACACTCGAGAGATGATTCGAGATATTGTAAACTAAAAGCATGTAACCAGCGGAATCAGGCGTGCTAAAACGGTCCCTCTAGAGGAAGTTTCTAAAAAGTGATGGGATGCGTTCCGGGTGCCAAGCCCCGAAATTTGAATCGATTGTGTAAGCACTTGAGCACTCGACTTGTTTAACAAAGCAGGACCAGATAAATAACATGTCGAATGTCAAACTTTTGCCGATTTTGGAGGACTGAGAAGAACCTGTGAAGGGCTTAGATAAGTGTAGGGATGGTGTAAAACAAGGAGTGGACAGTAGAGAACAGAAGTCTTGTGACAGTGCATGGGGCCTACCTTGACACAGGAGAAATTCTTCTGGATTCAACTTCAACTCCGCCCACGTCTCCTCAGCTACACGAATGAAGACATCGCCGATGATACGCCGTTTCTCCTCAGGATTCACAGTATTAGAGTTGAGGGGTCCAATAGGTAGGTTACGTATTTCTGTGATGGGTATCACGCCACCGTGACCAGGATGACATGCAGGGATCGGAGAGGCAGGCTTTGTTTTGGTTAGACCGTTCTCTGCACCCTCTGGTTCAACTTCTTCCATTGGCGACGGCGTTATCTGGTTATCCACCGTCTCACCCCCTGCTTTGCCCGCCAGAAGACTTACCGGAGCCAGAGCTGACGTTTCCACACGCACTTGGTAAGTGGTCATACCTGACTGGAAACGCAGGGCAGCATTCACGTACTTTACTACAAATAAACAAATCATTCTTTAGTCCACTAGAATAACAGTTACAGAAAAGAGCGAAGTGTTGTTTACCGACTATATGATCTTCAAGATACTTGATTTTGAATTATCCTGGCCCACAAACGCGATCATTAAATTGTCTTTGAAGTTTTACGCGCAACTGTTAATACTTCAAGTTATCTGGTGATAACTAAAGCATATTATAAGCCGGCCCCCAACGGGTCCAAATAAACACTTGAACCATCGGGTTACTCCAAACTATTCACGCTGTAGATGGAAAGGTGGACATTGGATACGTACGGCCTAAATGTACCTTCCCTTCGTCCGGGGATATTTTCTGGTATGCACGCAAGAATGACTTTCAGTTAGCCTTCTTTACTAGTAACTGAAATCCGAGAGGTTATTTAATGATTTTGTTTTGGTTCCATTTTTTTAGACTCAGAAACAGAGGTTAGTTGATTTTAGTACTGACTAATATTTCCTATTGAGTAAAATAAATTGTATGTTCGCTTACTCAGAGAGAAACAACTTCCCGACACTAAAATGTCTCGAAGCATAACATTCCAGTGCATTGACACTCCCTTTTCAGTCAAATGTTTCGTCTATAGCCGTAACACAATGAGTGAGCGTAGTCTCATCATTGTTAATAGTGCCGCGACTCAATGGTTAGGACATTGAACTTATAACTAACCGAAGGCGGGTTCAATCCTCGGAGGGCGCAAAAACCTGGGGTGGAGTATGGCTGGATAGTCGCTTTAGTTTCACACTTTTCTGTCGATAAAGTTTTCGACCTCAATATAACCAACATTATATCAGATAAAAACTGCACAAACGGGGTGGCTTCGTGAACAATTAATGTCTATTTTGTTCTTATGATTGCGAGGAGACTGTTCTGCATTAGAGAAAATACGAGCCAGGGGCGGATTTTGACCGAAACGGGCAGAGACATTTCTTTACGCAGCATCACGGACATGAAGTTGAACCAACCTACTGCATTCCTAATTTAAAATGAAGTAGATTAGCAAACAAAATGTTATTTAAGTCGTTTACTAGAACTTCCCTAAGCAATGTTGGCATGATATTCTAATGAAATTGGAATTATCCCCGATCTGTATCTTGACTGATCTAAAAGTACAAAAACGCAAACTTCCTCGTTTAAATCAACGCGTAAATTATTATTAAGTTGGTTTGGCAGATTTGCTTAATTTGAGTTGACCCAAG